ACACGGTCACTTTGAGTGGGAACTAACTCCCAGGCGCCTAACAACAACATTCTAGCTACAGCTGCAAGAAGAGAAAGAATCGATGATCTGCATTATGAGGATGGTGAAGAAGACTGAAGGGACCCTGGGCGGCCAGAAGGACGAGCAAATCTGGGTTGGAAGAAGTACAGCCGGAAGGCTCCTTAGAAGCAAGGATGGCGAGACTACACACTTGGACATGTCAGGAGAGGCCATTCCTTAGAGAAGCACATTGTTGAGGGGAGATGACATCAAACCAGCTGTCTACAAAATGTCTGTGTGGTCTTTCAGTGTTCCGGCCGGAGATGTCATTATAACCCAATTACCCATCCTCCGGATGCTCTTTTGCAGTGGCCGATTTGGCCGTATTTGCCCATGTGTTAGCTACCAGACTGCGGCAATTCATATTTATGAGCCTGCACCAATAACTTTTTGAGACTAACGTAGCAATTAACAGAAAAGAAGGAACACTGACCAGTTACTAATAACGTTATAACTAACAATGTTGCAACATGATTGTGTATAAAGATCTAACAAAATGATCTTGTCAGTCAGTAGTCATATCTTCTGAGAAATAGGATGTCTAGGCAATTGATAACCAAACGGATCACATATTATTCTACTATTAAATGGATAGCAAGCATTACTGATGACTCTGTATGGCTAGGTATGGTGGGGGGAGTGTGACATCATGGGTTCTCACACTGGTTGACTCTGACCCCCATGATACCAGTGACAGACATGGTAGCTGCGGTGAAGGGCCAAACCACAGCCACCATTGTGAGGATGGTGAAGGTGGCGTGGGACCGCCTGGCAGGACTTCCTTCTGTACACAAGGTTGCCATGAGTGGGAGCTGCAGACCCCACAGCACCCATCATTAGCAAGATTCCACTACACCAGGACCAGTGGTCCCCTTTCCTTGTCTCCATTTCGAGGTGAACACAAACTCCCACCATGAACAAGAGGTCACTTGGTCCCTATTCTGAGGCTTAAAGGGATGTTGGCCCTGAGAACAGGGTGGACCAGATAAGTGGGGTGGGAGGCTCTGCCCCAGCCTGCCCTGCGTGGCACCAGGCATGTTAATGCAATCAGTTTTTGCAGCCACCCCCCTGGGCTCCTTACAAAAGATGTCCACTTCCCGAAAGATTAAGTTTCCTGAACGGAGCTAGCCACCTTTAGGAAGCTGCTCGAAATGGTGGGGACACACCCAGAGGCTCCCCAGAGCCAGCGAGGGGCATGAGTCACAGCACCCTAGCACTGCAGGGAGATGCACCTGCTGGCATGGGCTGCCAGCCGCAGCGGGGGGCGCTGGGGAGGGTGGGGGCTGGGGCGGGGTTTAGGGTGGGGTAGGGGTGGGTTCAGGATAGGGGCGAGGTGGAATCTGTTGTGGAGTGGAGGTAGGAGGTCAGGGTGGGGGACCTGGGTGGGGTCGGGGCGGGATCTGGGTGGGGGTACGGGTGTGGATCTGCGTGGATGGGGGAGCAGGGACGCAGGTGGGGACCTGGCAGGCCACGCACCCGGCCAGCGGACCCGCGTGTGGTCACAGGAAAGGGGCGAGGTGGAATCTGTTGTGGAGTGGAGGTAGGAGGTCAGGGTGGGGGACCTGGGTGGGGTCGGGGTGGGATCTGGGTGGGGGTACGGGTGTGGATCTGCGTGGATGGGGGAGCAGGGACGCAGGTGGGGACCTGGCAGGGTTTGCTGGAGGGACTGGGGGTGGTGAGCACGAGAACCCGGCCAGCGGACCCGCGTGTGGTCACAGGAAGGCTGCGACCCCCGGCGCCAGCACGCGAGCAGCGGGTCCCGCTGCACTCACCGACTCTCAGCGTCCAGGCGGCGGCCGCGCTGCCCTCTCGCGGGACCCCTCCCTCGGCCCTGGGCTCTGCTGCAGCCTCACGGCGCCGGCGGCGGCCGGTGCAGACAGCTGCTATGGTGGAGAGGGGGCGCCGGCGACCCGCGGCGGGGGACCTGGCCCGGCCCCTCGCGCTCCTGCAGGGGGCGCGCCGGTTCGCAGCTCGCGCGTGCGCAGTGGAACGACCCTGCGGGTGCCGGGAACACCCCGCCCGCGCCTGTTTACGCCTGCGCAGTGTCCCGCTCCCGTCCGCGTCTGCGCAGGCCACTGGCGCGCCGACCTCCAGCAGGGGGCGCGCGTCCTTGAGACGTCGTTGGTGGAGAGTTCAAGACTGACTGGGAGCCTCAGGGCCCCGGAGCGCGGATAGGTCTCTGTGAGAACCAGCGCAGTGCGCATAATGGCCGTCGGTCTCTGGCCCAGGAAATAAGGTGCGCTCCCCTGGGCGCTCTCTCAGGGAAACCAAGAGGCGGGCGCCGAGCTCCCTCCACTTAGCCCAGGAGGGGGGCCTGGTTTCTCAGACCCGTGGTCGAGGCGCGGGGAGTGGGACGAAGGGTCCCGGAGATCCGAGGAACTTTCTGGAAATCTGGTCTCGCCGCATCTAGTTGACCGGGAGGCCCGCACCCCGAGCGTTGTGGTCACCCCGCGGAGGCGTTCCGGGGACGCTGCGGGGTCACCACGTGCGGGTGAGGGAGGTGTCCCACGGCCTGGTGGACATTATCTCGCTGGGCGGGGGTCCCCCCACCGGTCACCTGAGGCGGGAAGGACCTGGTTTGGAGTCATCTGGGGTTTGGGTTTCTTCCCCTGGGTTGGAGGGACCCGAGGCCACATCGGGGTCACCTCAGGATCCAGATCGCTGGTTTGGGATCACCTGGGGTTCGAGGTTCCCAGGTTGAGACGGTGTTGCCTCATGCAGGGGTCTCCCTGGGTCCGACTGGGGTCGCCTTGGGGCCGAGTCTTCAGGTCAGGTCGTCTGAGGCGAGAAGGTCTAGATTGGGGTCCCCTAGGGCTCAGCGTACCCTGCCTGGTTGGGTATGGGGTCATTTCGTGCCGGCGTGCCCCGGGGTAGGGTCAGGTCGCCTTGGAGTCGAGGTCCCCAGGTCAGGTCGCCTCAGGAGGGAAGGCCTGGATTTGGGGTCCCCTGAAGTTTAGGGTCCCCGGTTGAATCAAGGTTGCCTCGTACGAGAGGGTCCCAAGGCCAGGTCGGAATGACCTCGGGCTCTTCGGGCCGGGGTCGCCTGGGATTCGGGGTTCCCAGGTCTGGTTGGGGTCACTTCGGTGGGCAGGGTCGGGACCTTGGTGCAGGGATCCGAGTCGAGGTCATCTCTGGATCAGGGTCCCCAGGCCGGGTCGGGGTCGCCTCGAGCGGAGGGGTCCGAGGACTAGGTTGAGGTCGCCTCAGTGGGTCGGGGTCGCTCCAGGTGGAAGGGTCCCGAGACCAGGGCGGGGTCGCGCGGGGCGGAATGGGGGCGGGGACGGGCCAACAGTCGGTGGTGGCCTTATCCTGGGTCTGAGTGCCTGAGGCCCCGACGACGCACCGGGGTGAGTGAGTGCCCCCCCCCTTCCCCCTCATAGAGCCCACTGAGCGGCCCGCTGTGCCCGGGACCCAGGGGACCAATACGTGACCTTGACGGACCTTAATTTAGCGGCCCCTCGGTTGGGCGGTTCATTCTCCCTCTGCCCAAAACCGTAGCTCCAGATCCCGTTTGTGACCTGAGATGTTGCGATTTACGGCCCCCACCCCCCTCTCAGGCAGAAGGTGGGCTTCCCTTGAAAGGGCCTTTAGTTTGTCCCTTGGTCCCAGCAGAGAGGAAGCGCTTGCACATACTTGTGGCCTGAGCCACCAGGTGAAAGGGCTTCAGAGTCCCTTTCCGATTCTCAGCGTCCTGCCCCTAAAATGATGGGTAACAAGATCAGCTCTCATGCCAAACTCAAAGGTTTAGAGGGTTTTTGGGAGCTTTTTTGGTTCTTGTCTAGAGGACCAAATGAGAAAACGCATATCGAAATGCTTCTCATCAGGCCTGTCATATAAACCAAAAGTCCCCTCTCTGCCCTGGGGTCCATTGCAACCCACTGCGAGCCGACATAGCTGCTCAATAAATGGTAGTGTGTATACGGTACATATACCGTGCTTGTATATAGGGAGACTTCCTTAGCCTAGTCTGCAGGGAGCATGCAGGGAAGAAAACCAACCGATGGGAAGCAACTTCAGGCTTTAGGTCATCCCAGAGGACAGGTGGAAGCATGGGTCACTTTAAAACCCTCTCCTTTCTGCCCCTCTGTGTTCTCCACACAGCCTACACTCCCTGTACCCCACCAAAGTGGCTGCCCCATGACCTCTCTGCCAGAAACTTCTCAGAGCGGGGCTGGCCATCTCCTCACCTGACCTCCATCATTCTCTCCTTTATTCCCCTCCACCTCAACCCAAGTAGAGTTCTTGGTCTCCAAGGTAAAATTGGTCACATCCTGCAGTTTTCCCTCTGCTCTAAGCCAATTTCTCATTTGTTCCTAGATTAAGACTGATTTTCCCTCTCTCTCTTAACTGTTTCTTGTGAGTTGGGTGAATGTTGACAGAGCTCATTGTGTTGAATTGTTCTCCATTTCCATCTCCTTCCTGGCAATCTCCCCAACACATTTGATAATTCTGTAAATCCATTTCCAAAATGTATATAAGTGGGGTTTTTATATCTCTTTACTTCAGTGATACTGGGGGGTTTAGTTAGTTTTTAATCATTAATTTTAATCTTTCCATAGTCACCTTTTGCTAAACTAACCTGAGTTCTGTGTTAATGGAAAGTGTTCTGTCTCTCGATTTAAACCCAGCCCAATGATCTGTTAATCACACTTGACAATAACTTCCCGCCTTTAGTCATTCG